GTATGCTGTTCTAAGCATTGTAAATCTGAGAATATAAGGAGTTATTACCAGTCTATTTAAAACAGTAGAATCAGAGGTGATACCATCTTATGTCCTTTTTCATGCATCAGTAGTTTAACTGGGTGTGACTGAGCGAGTATGAACGAGATCCTAAAACAGGATATCTAATATGCACATATAAAATGCAGAATGATTTATATGCGAAATTCCTGAAGCATGATTTCTAAATGCACAGAGAGTTACAACATTGTTAAGCATGATTTCCAAATGCATAGGAGTAACAGTTTTGTGTTAATGCTGTTATTTAGCCTAAAGCAGGATTTCTAAGTGATAAAAATAATGTCAAATGAGATGCTGAAACAGTAAACCTAAGAACATGATATTTAATGCATGACATGCTTGGAATGTATTGGTCCTAAACATGGATTCTAATGCACATATGGGAAATGTAAACCTAAGGCATGGTTTCTACCCATTGATATTGATAACATATATATGACTACCCTCCTTTTTTCACTAGCCAACACAAATATTCATTTAAAATAATTATTACAAACCAGTATTGAAATGAATTACATAAGTAGAAAAAGAAAATAAGAAGTTACACTATAGAGAGCCTAAAAACGGGCCCAGATTTCCAGAATCTCAAATGCCCAGATGTTTCACAGCCTTTCTTATATCCCGGTGTGTCAGAGTTCCCTAAGGACCTCAAGAATACCGGGCAGTGCTCACACCCAGATTTCACAAACATAACTGAGTAGGTGCAGTGTGGAAGAGCCAGCTCCAATGCATCACAGTTCAGAGGGATCTCATAGGGATCCCAAAGCAGTCACACATTGGAGAGGAAAAACTTAAGGACCTAAGAGTAGAGTGAGAGTGCTTGACATAGTTTTGAAAAGGTTTTAGCAAGAAAGCAATGTGAAAAGAGACTTAGTTGAAATAGTTGTGTAAATAAGAGAGTTGTTTAGTAAAACAGCTTTTGAAAACAGTTGTGTAATTAAACAAACAGCAGGTCAGTCAAACAAGTTCAGCAACACTCAGAGAACAAACCTTCACACGGGGTCAATTGGGGGTTGGGGACAAATAGAGCATGTATGGTGAACACATAATAGGAAGAAGTCCTTTGCACTTAGTGCAGGTAGTAAGACATAGATTCGGGAGTGTTAATTAGAACATAGTTACAGAACCAGAGATGCTTTAGGGAAATTCATAGGGGTTGAGAGATAGTAGAGTATAAGAGTTTATACTAAACATGACTGAGCATAATATTAAGACAACTTGGGACAATAGCCCAATAGGTGTATACTAGAACTAGTCAATAGTATACAAGCATTAAACAAAGTAAAGTCAAGTTACTGGTTCATGAGAGCATGCTGGCCCTAAAGAGGTAAGACATGGATAACATAATTAGATGAAGCAAAAGAGATTAATTACATGTTGAACGACAAAACCATAGTTAGAAACAAATCAAGAACATGATGAACTGAAGTAGTAAAAGAAACATATTATTTTTAGGACTTGAATTGAAATCAGAACATACCAGTATAAAGATAGTAAACACAAAGTGAAGAATAGGAGAGCACAATAATTAGCCTTGGCTTGAAGCCGGCTAATTCAGAATATTAGCAAGTAACAAAGAAAGAAAGCAGAAAGCTTTTTAAGTGTGAGAGAGTTTTTGAACCAATGTGTTCATGTGTCTTTGTTAATGAGAGAGCATATGTATATATAGTTTGAAACTAGGTAGAATAATAAGGTAAGAATCAAAGTCATACAGTAATTATAGAACTAGGTATCAATTAGTATAAAATCAGTATAAGTACTCCCTTAATTAAGGGAGTTAACTTCAAACGGTAAAGACAAATTAGGAAGGAGATCACATAAGACTGGAATATAACACATAAGGAAATAATTTCAGCATAGTGCAAGTATAGAACATGTAATTAAGGCTAAGTACATAATATTCCAATTAAGGAAATAACATAAGAATCAGTTGACAACATGGTCGACCATAAAATAAGGCAAGAAAAATAACTTAGAGGTTGAAAATCAGTAGAAAATATCACAAGAGATTAGTGAAGGATATCAATCACAGGGAATCAAGGATTCCAATGGACAATAGTACTGGTTTAGGGGAAATTACCATAAATCTCTATGAACAGACAGAATAAAAACATAATAGGCAAGAAGAGGCAAAAAATTAGAAACCCTACTAGCATAGTAGGGTAAAAATCACACAAAATTAGGGATTCACATAGAACATAGTAGTGATTAGAGGAATTAACAGAATAAACATAATATAGGCGGAAGAAGCAAAAATCAGAAACCCTAATGAGCATAATAGGGTAAAATCACAAAAACTCAGAACGTTCATGAGAAACAAGCATGCATACAGATTAAACGAACAAATCATCAAATACAGACTCAGAACCCAAGATTAAGACCAAGAAACTATGGTTTTCAATATGATAAATCAGATAAAAGGGAAAAACTTAAATAACCATTTAAACATAGTAAGAATCATAGAATAATACCAAAAAATCAAAGGGAAAGTCATTTTGAAAAAGTGTTAAGAAAGCCTAGTTTGAAGATGAAAAGGCGTTTTTGAAAAATCGGAGAGATTCTTAAGAAAATAGTAAAGATAACTCAGAAAACTCTTAAATCTGTTACAGATCTAAGAAGTCAAGAGCTAAAATTAGGGTTTCGGATAGAGATAACCCAGATATAGAGAGACTCCGACTTAGAAGACATGGATCTAGCCGGAAAAAGAAAGATCCTACTCGAACAGGCCGTTCTCAGAATCAGACTATAGGTGTGAGTTGAATAGTCGTTAGTCCCTTGAGGACCTTAGGGTAGCAATAATCCGGCATGGGGGGAGCCATGGAGGCTAGGGGTGGTGGTGGAACCCCCATTGTTACCGGCGAGCCAACGGCCGGTGAGATGAGAGTAGGGTTTAGTAGAAAGAGAGCTTGAGAGAGATGAGAGGATGTAACGGTGGAGAGAAAGAGGGAAAATGAGAGAACGGGGGGG